GGAAAGCGAGAGAATAGACTCACTGTGCCCCTAAGAAGCAAGCTTTTCATGGCGACTAACTGGTGCTGTTTTTGTGACCGTCAGAATCTACATGCAAGAGAGGCAAGGAACTAACAGTGTGCTTAAAAAAAAAAAGCCATATCTGTAAAGTGGATGTGCATGCAAAAGTCACGTTCTGGAATAGGACCACAGTCCGGAAATAGACGAACATTCAATTACACTTCAATATATGTGGTCCCCTCGTTGGATGCAATTTTTTGAAACCCCACCCTGGCTTTTGCTGGGAGCTCTGGATATAGGCGGGCCATAAATATTGCCTATCTATAGATATGGCCTACAAGGCTGAAAGGGGTTTCTGGTACCTCTCCACGGGTGATCCTCATGCGCATGGTGACACTTTGTGTCACCGGGTATTTATCGCTTGTGTGATGTCCTGGTGAGGTACAACTACCTACCTACCTACCTCACTAACACATGGGGTCAGTAATGTTACCTGTAATAAACATAATTTTCTCACTGCTATACAGAGTTATAAAATCGCTTGGTATTGCAGAAAATAACATGTTCTTACTGCTACAATGTCAGTCAACTTTCCAATTTGTATTATAATAATGGTCACATGTAAATTTAGCAAATATCAAAAATTTTGAAGGACAAAACTGTGGAGGAATTAGCAGGCTCGAAATTTACCGATGTTTTTTTTGGAAACGTTATTCAGTTTAACAGATGACCACCCTGTTATGGACAGATCAGAGCAAGTCTTTATTCTCTGCATTAGAACAGGACACAATCGACTTCGCAACCACTTGTAAAAAAAACATCAAAGATTGGTGAAAGAGCAGAATGTGATCGGCACCTGAGACAACTGACCACGTCCTGCAAAACTGTCTCAGATACAACATATCAAGGAAAAACTTTTGGACAAGAGAAACATCGATGAAAAACTTTACGGGTCGCTTGCAGAATTACAACAGACAGTGAAGTCCATAATAGAGACAATATAGCAGATACAGGTAATCTATTTGAAGCCATAAAAAAAAAACAAGATTTTCAGTTTAAAGATTAAAAGTATAATACATCGACGACGAAAAGGAGGATGAGCAGAAAGAGGCTGAGCAGGAGAAGGATGATGATAATGATGATGCTAAAAAAAAAAAGAAGAAGAGAGAAAGAAAAAAAAAGAAAGGAAAGAAATAACTAATGGTGAAGAAATAGGACGGAAGATTTAAAAAAAGAGAGAAACTGTGACTACGTGAAATTTAGAGATGAGGAGATGGAAAAAGATACCAAACGTGAGGCTGTTGTACAGTCTGGTTATAATGACTCAGAAATGACAGATAGGTATCATAACGAGACGGAAGACTCCGGACAGATGTGAAGAACTAACTCTGTCTGACAGTGACAATAAAAAGAAAAACCTTTCGATCCACGGTAACAAGCAACATGATCATTGACTTACTTGTTCTCCCGCCTCATTAGCAATCTCTCGGCCTCATTCATTGGCATGCCCATTAGATTCTCCAACTTTCTGGTTTGAACATAATCTGTACAGTTGAGCCAAGGTTTGACTGGGCGGCCACAAAACCAGGGGGTGCCGTTGATTTCCGTCAGGTTACATATCTCAGACTGCTTGGCTCCTGGGATGACCGGCACATGGAAACAAATGACACTTTCACTTGCCTGCAAAATCAATGTTTTTACCAGTAGATGTGTGATAAATACACCCTAAATAGTTATAACTGCATTGTAATAATTATCATGCCAAATGTATTTTAAATGGTTTGTAGTCAGTTTTGTGTTCTGAAAGTATAGTGTAAAGGATACGTTTTCACGTCTTCAATGTTTTAATTTTGAAATGTAATTCTTCAGACTCCATACAGGTGTTTCCTAAAGTGGACGCTACCGCACTCCGTGAGGGGTGGGGGGGGGGGGGCTAGTACGGTCCAGGGACCGATAGCAGGCTGGGATGCAGGTGCTAAGCATTAAATGAAATAAGTCAGCAGTAGAGAGAGAGAGAAGAGAAGAGAAAGAGAGAGAGAGAGAGAGAGGGGGGGTCGATAAACTGTTAGTACTTTTCTTAATATAGAGTGCCAGATTAAAATCGTCGTGACTGCTTAATTTTGAAGAAACAGCAATGTTACAACCAATCAGCAGCTTATCAGATTTATCCTTCTCAGTAAAGAAAATGTGATTCGTTAGTGTTATTTTAACATTCCCATACTTCGACATTGAGTGGAAGGATGGCCAGGAATCAAATGCATCCTCTAAAGACCACAAAGCCTAGGCGTTATTGTAGAGGAAATGCTTTGCCCATGCAGCATGATCCCTTACTCGGTCAGCCTTGTTTAATAAGAAAGGAAAAGTAACAATATTACGTTTGGAGCAAAGCACGTTGCAGAAGCTGCCGGATACGAAGAGCAGTATTTGTCTGCCTACCTGTCAGTTTCCTTTACAGACTATTTGCCAACCAAGGCAATTGGTCTGGTCTACTCTGCTATAACGCCGTTTTGAGATCACTTTCCTCCTTGCATAAGCAAGGTTAGTCTCCTCCCCTATAAACTTCTTTGTCTGCATTTGTTGGCACAATTTGGAATGGCATGCTTGGTTACCCTGTCGAATATTATGTAGTGATAGAAAAACAATACTACAGACTACTGTTATACCGAAGCTCAGTCATATCTGTCTAAGACGGAAAAAAAACTAACTGGAACAGTATATTTTCTTTCATCCACACAAAGAAATTATAATTCTCTTGTAGAAAATCAACCACTATCATAGACCTTGTGTTTGCTAGGGAAATGGGGGTACATTAGACTCCATGCTCACCCGGGAAGTCAAACTTCAACAACAACAAAAGCAGAAAATTCAATCAAAAATCATATACACCCTGTAGCACACACACACACACACACACACACACACACACATACACAAAACTGGATGGAACATACTGGGAAGGCCCGCAGAAAAACATGAAGGCCAGTCTACACTGAAACAGGTAAGCCAGTTATAGAATACGCTTCAGTCGCATCAGCTGAATCAGAGAAAACGAACTTAATGAAACTTACACGAGTTTTAAAATACTGGCCTATGAATTACAAAGCGGCGTCCGTGGCTAAGGCGTTGCGAGTCTGACTCGTAATCCAACGTACCGCGATCGAAACCCACTGCGGGCTGCGTGGATTTTTATCGTGGTATGGAACGTCGCAGGTCGACCCAGCCTCAAATGGGTACCAGGATGGGCTGTCCTGGGAAAGTAAAGACGGCCGGCGTAATGCTGACCCAATTACCCACCGAGCGCCGATTGGTCTGTAAAAATATGGGTGCTCTTCCCATATGCCCGATGCGCCTAAGGGCGTGTAAAGGGATCTTTACTTTACTTTACTTATGAATTACAAAGGAGCAACAAGAAACATCTCCAGTAGACAGTACACATCCCTCACTTAGTTCAAAAGGCTTAAAAGGCTTCCCAACTATCTACCCAACGGTAGATTTTAAGAGGAAAAAACTAACGAGGAAAAAGTATAAATTGTCTTGCAATTACACAATATGTAAATATAACCCCCAACAACAAAAAACAAAACAAAAAGAACAACAACAACAACAACACATTCTGATGTGTGCAATCACACTATAACTATAGATTAACTTCCAATCTTATCCAGTACAGTTTATCAACATGGGAAACTTTTACAAACTTCACAGAAGAGGAAACTCCTTCTTTGACCCGGGTAGACTCTAGTTTAACTGTTTAAAAAAAACAAGGCTGTCATATTCCCATAGGCACAATCAGTCATGCATGCCATCTTCCGTTCCAAAAGCCAGACAGCATCGTGTATGATATTCTTGAAAAAATACACCCAGATGCTCTCCACAAAAACATAGATAGTCTAGCAGAGAATTCTAGCCTACTATGGATCCCTAGAGATGACAAGAAAGAGCTTACAAAGGCCACCAGAAATCTCATGCAACCCCTTCAGTCTCAGAGTTTAAAAATTTTTTTAATGCAATTATGTCATTTTTTTTGCTCCAGTACAGAAGGTATATTTCAAGACATAGACTAGATGGTGGCGACAACTAATAGGATTGACAGAAAGAGGATGGAGAGAGAGAGAGAGAGAGAGAGAGAGAGAGAGAGAGAGAGAGAGAGAGAGAGAGAGAGAGAGTAAATAGATGAATACCTGGATGGCACTGGCCACATGCATGTTCTAGGGCAGGAGCACCACCTGAACGTGTAGGTTGAATGGGATGGCCGCCTATGCTCTTTGCCGTGTCACATCATGATGACGATATTCAAAGTAGACTTTCCACTAAAAAGGAGGCGGTGAGCCAAAGAAACATTTTTCTGCTCATCCTTCTAAACGTTCTTCTTCTGCTTTTTCTTAATTTTCTTTGTCATCCCCCATCCCAATTCTCTTCCTCTGCTGCTTCAATTTCTTCTTTTTCATCACTATCCTAATCTTTAATTTTTTGCTCTGCCTTCTCCTCTTTCTTGACCAATTTTTTATGGGCCAGTCGGCACTCGATACACGCTGTTGTTACAATCATGGTGGACACATTTACTTTCCAGGACATATTTTTGCCTCCTATTGTAACGTAGGCTGACCTGGGAGTACAGCCTATTTTATAAACATATACCTTATGAATTTGATCCTAAGACTTTGAGGTCGGCAGGAGGTGTTTAGCCACAGCGTTACCATGGTTTCTTTTCGACCAGCTGTATTGAAATATTGATCAATATTGCAAGGTAATGCTAGGTAAGGCTATACTGACGCACTCTCACTAAACAACAGGATTGTCAAGACGCCCACATCTTTTATCAGTTTATGTCTACTCTGCAACGAAGAAAATACATTTAATGACACTACGAACAGAACACATTACAGAATTAACGTAATGCAATATTGTTTTGTATTGAAAAAAGCGATTTTCGAAAATAGTTTGCTTCTTAATGATGACGCGACGACGACGACGATGATGATACTGGTACAGAGAAGGACGATGAGGCTGACGATGTTGATGATAATCATACTGTCATAACCTAACAGAGAACTCACTAGTTTGTTCCTAAAAGCTCCGGGGTAGATAGTTGACGATTTGATCATGAGCTGGGTTAACATTATTGTCTGTATATATTCTCTGCTGTAGACAAGTGCTGCATATGCTCTGGGATAGAAATAAGCAAAATGTGGTCAATGTTACCTTTTACTTGTGACTTGTCCTTATCTGCCACAACAAAGCACAACGATCTGACCCATTCGTACTCTGTTCTTAGAAGCAGCAGCCATTCGGTGTTTACGTGCTTACCGTACCTAATTGTAGTTGACTGATATGTCTTCTTTGTTTGTCTCGGAGCCGGCTTCTGCATTCTTGTGCTTGATTGATACCCATTTCGAGCAGGCGGTTCAACGTCTTTGGGTCATGTGCCTTAACGTCTCTGCAGTGCAGTTTTTCTAGTATGTCTGCCCTGCCCATACTTCTTCCTCGATCAACCACAGCAGACAAGGCCAATCTGCTGTTTCATTTCCTTTCTCCCCGGCGGTTCCTGTGTGTACAGCCAAAATGGTTTCTTGATGCTGTTAAACCATTCTAGTCAGAGCTTGCTAGTTTGAATATTCTTAAGAATGCTCACTGAGTCTGCCACTATCAGTGCGACAAGTGCTTTCTGTTCTGTCAGTCATGCAGGTGCTCATGTCAAGGCGGCCTTCTGCATTGTCATGCTAGAAGTAGCTAAACTTCATGCCCGAGTTTCTTCTTTTACTGTTTTCCCATTCACCTGCACTGTGTACGTTCACATAGATCACACCCCAAAAGTCACTGAGCCACCTGTAGAGATGATGACGTCGCCTGGCTGAGGCAGCTCAAAGATGAAGGCCTTCATTTCAGCATCAGCAGTTGCTTGGCTCCATTCTCTGAAACACCTGCATGGGGTGATTTTAACCGCGACGGGTTCCTGCAATTGTTCTGGTTCATCCAGTCAGCACCGAGCTTGAAATGTTCTAATGGGAAAATTTGACTAATATTATCCTCTGATTTCGCCATCCATAACCGCCCTTAATTTAGAAAGTTATCTTTGTTTACTGGTAGGCAGCTGTGCAACTAGGTTTTATATCATCAGCAACAGAGGGGTATATCTTGCCTGGGTCATCTTGTGTCTAGTCGTCATATCTGGCAGTTCGAGGATATACTGCATATGTGCACAGGAGGATCAGTCTCGTGACTTCAGTGACTGACTTCACTTTGCACTTTCTCCCCTTTTTTTTTTTTTCAAGTTGATTTTTGCAGATAGTGAGGAGGCCAAGTCCATTTTCAATCGAGAGCACCAAGCCCGAAAAAACCTAAGCAGCATTTTTTGTTATATTTTAGCTGTTGCCAACACCTAACCATCGCCAGGCCTTCGTTGTCCTTTATGAGGACATCAGTGACATGATCTTGCAAGAACAGACATCTATCAAAGTGCGTACCAAGATAATATGGTCTTTTGACTTTTCGACATCATCTCCACATAAACTGATGAAAGATGTGGACATCTTGACAATCCTGTTGTTTAGTGAGAGTGCGTCACTATAGCCTTACCTAGGATTACTTCAGCCCCTGATTCCTCACACCGTCTGGTCAGTCTGTCCAGTTTCTGCTGCAGTGGTTTAGTTATCTCCACTCTTCTATAGCCTGTTTAAATTTCAGTGTTCATTAGGAAAGGTCACTGATACTCAGTGCGTGTGATCCCTGATGAAATACACATAACTTAAGACAGGTGACAAGTGTTACTAATGATGTAACCACGGCTCTATGGCTCGATGCTTCTTCACAAACCATGGGTGGCGGGGGGAATGTGGGGAGGGGGGGGCATGTTTAATTGAAAATGGGGATGAGTGGGGAAGGGGGGGGGCGGAGGGAATTCGACTATATGGGTGGGGCATTTAGAAATGGACTCGTACAAGTTTAAGTTTTAAGTTAACCGTATACGCTCCATCGCTACTCGAGCTGGGTACAGAAAGGTCCAGTATAGGTAACTACACCATGTTCGTAGCCATCACTTCACTATTACACGTTGGGAGTGTTCGAATTTGAACCCACTTTTATTAAAATAGATAGCCCTAACTCACATCATGGCCACCAGAGCCCACCAGAGAGGCTAAATTAATTCGTTCGTTTTGTACTTGGCCAAATTAGCCCTAGTTAGCGCTAGTATATTAGAGTACATTCCCTTTTTTCCAGAAGAGGAAATTAGAGGGCCCCAAAAAGTTTTAAATCATACTGTATTGTTGTGCTGCAATCAGCCGGTATAACAAAGCCGCGATCTGTTGTAACACGGTCACCATACTGACATTTGTTCAACATGTTTGCCAATATAATGAAATTACGGTTGCCATATCCGATTGTTATGGAGTAATAGGAAACAGGTTTGTAATAAATATAAACAATTTAGTTTTTGAATATTAAAAAGTATGTATATATGTATATGTTACACAGGAGACATAAGAATTTTATAGATTCCTAGGTGGGGCATGGCACAAAAACAAATCCAAACCCCGGCTGTAGTCGGAGACCCTAATATAACCTAACGGTTTAAAAACGGTTTCTAGGACTTGTGCCTGGGTGATTCTCATTCGAATGGTGGCACTTTGTGTCACCGGATGTTTCTTGCTCACTGTGTGGTTTTTATGGCACACACACACACACACACACACACAACACACACACACATACACACACACATTCACACTCAAGTAGAAAAAACTGAGTTAGACGCTTGCCGCTAGCTCGTTAACTCTTTTGGTCCGATGCAGTGTATCGTGTCTGAAAAAAAAAAACTTGTTCAAATGAATCCCAAGCATTTAGCAAAATGTTCTGTTACTCTCTGCAGTATATCCGAGACTAATTTCTTTTTTTTTTTTTTTTATCCAGTGTCCTCAGTTGCCTATTAAACATTTTTTTTTGTGTGTGTATGTCATTAAACGGTTATTTCTCTACTTGAGCAACTGCTATGAAAAGTTCTGGGGCTGCAAGAGTTAATGGTCTTAGATTCGAATTCCTAACAAGGAATTTTTAAGTATAAAGGGTCTCCTAAGTCGACACAAAATAATATACATGCCATGAATTGACCTTGGAGGCATAGGCGGCCAGAGTGGTTCTGGCTATCGCACACTTCGTAAGCTGACTGGTCAATAAAAAGTGTGGGCTGAGAATTAAATAAATGCCGGATACGTCACAGTTCGTGTAAAGGGCACATCGCTGTGAATTACTCCCTACACACTATTCTCAAGTATAATACGTTAGAGTTACCCACAAGAGATGCACATTAGTATCTGTGGAATTCGTTCATATTTTCATGTAATCTTCGTACATGTCCCGTGATGTCATTCTTTAACAATTCCTTCTTTTGAGGTCTTTAGAAATTACTATGCAGATACGATGTAATCAAACTGGTTTAATTATCTGTATTATATTTCTTCAGTCTAAATACAAGGTATGAGTGTGGGGTGTGTGTGAGGTGTGTGTGTGTGTGTGTATATATATATATATATATATATATATATATATATATATATATATACACACACACATAGTAAAGTACAGAAAAGGTCCCTTCTCCACGCCTTTAGGCGTATAGGGGATATATGGCTACACCTATACTTTATAGACCAGAAGGCACAAGGTGATGTGGTCAGCATCACGCCGACCGCCTTTGCTTCCATGGTACTGCACCCGGTACCCACTCAAGGCTGGGCCGACCTGTGAGCCAAAGTCCACGACAAGCGTCTAGCCACTCCGCCACGGCGACTCCCTATATATATATATATATATATATATATATATATATATATATATATATATATATATATACTTACATACTTTTATTCCTAATCTAATTTTTCACTATTTATTATATAAATATAATCACCTGTCTTTACCGATCGCCCATTACATTCGTATTTGTTTTTTCTTATAATGTTTTTTTTTTTTTTTTCAGCATTAATCAAGGACTGGGTGAAATACCAAGTGAAATATTAAAGCAGCATAAAAAGTGGGAATATCGTGGTTGCAAAATATGTTTTATCATGTTTCGGTAAAGATTCCGCAGTTGTCACAGTATGGGAAAATAAAGCCAGTAAAAGAGACTGCACACAGTACAGACACACTTAGGGAAAATATTCTGCAAAATGCTCGAGAAAGACTATGACTCATAATTGAGCCTCAGTTAAGTGACGCGCAACTAGGATTTCGGAAAAAAACAAAGGATCCATAGGTGCCAGATAGTGTACAACGCAGAATGGCCAACCTCAGTTATATTAATGAAGAATACCCACAAGAACAATGGGTCAGAGTCTATACAGATGGGTCTGCAGAAAGTGCAGTTAGAAATGGTGGCGCTGTAGTGTTCATCGAATTCCCAGATGGTACTAGGGATAAGTCCAGCGTACAAACCGGAAAATACTGCCATAATTACGATGCAGAAACCCAGGCTATCAAGATAGCTACAGAAAAACTGCTAAATACCAACCTTGGCTCACAGTATGTGGTAATGCTGACAGATGCTAAATCAGTACTTGAAGCACTCCAGTCTAAGAAACTACCAGAATTGCAAACACTGCTGACACAACTCAGCGTTCAGCGAAGAGTCGTAATGCAGTGGATACCGTCTCATTGTGGAGTGCCTGGAAATGAGAAAGCTGATCAACTGGCAGGGGAAGGTGCAACAAAAGAGCAGCCGGATGTACCAGTCACATACCACTAAAAGAAAAGAATCATTAAATCGATCAGGAAACCACCAGCTCAGCACAAGACGACTATTTTATTATGGACAGACCAGCAAAAGTCATTATCCTCCGCCTCAGAACAGGGCACAACCGATTACGTAACCACATGTACACAAAATTCTAGATAGGTGTATCAGCCATGTGCACCTGTGGAAATGTACTCCAGGACTGCACCGATTTTGACACATTAAGGCAAACCTTTTGGCCAGAAAGAATAACAGTGGAACGTAAACTCTATGGACCACTGAATGAACTAACAACGACAGTGAAATTTATACAAGAGACAAAACTGCTGATATAGACAACTTATTTCAGGCGAACAAAAGAAGAAGAAGAAGGTGCCATCTTTGCTCCTAGACAACTGATAGAGGAATCAACTGAATTTAATGAAAAACTGTATTAAGCGATTGTTGACCAAGGTGTTTGGCGGAGTAGATATAAATAGTCTTAGCGAATATTGAAAATTATGAACCGAACATGCATCTAAAAAATATATGTAGAAGCTTACTTAACAACTGTGAATATATAGTTAGAACAAACAGAAGACACTCAGAAACATTCAGAAGGTAAATCCGGAGTACCACAGGGTTGTGTCCTACCTCCCCTTCTATTCATAACTAACATCACTAACATATGTGAAGAAACCAACCAAACCATCACTACAATTCCCCAAGGAGAAGAAGGTCCAAAGACAAGTATCTTCCTTTTAAAAAATTACTATTTGCAGAAGACCAAGCACTAATTGCTACTTCAGAAACAGAACTGTAAAATATCATAAATGCATGAAACCATGTGTGCACAGAGCATACCATTCACACTAATGCCATAAAAACAACGATCATAAACATAGTTGAAGCAGAAGAAAACAACAAACATCCAGCTTGCAGAATACCCTCTGAATAAATCAAAAACTGTAAACACTTAGGAAGCATAATATCATAACCCCCCCCCCTCCCCCCCCCCAATGAGATCGATGACAGATGTAACAGAGCAAACCAACTAATCGGGCAAATTATACTATTATTGATAAACAAGCATGTGTCAGCAGATACCAAAAGAGTACTCTGTAACACAATCTTCTTGCCAAATGGTTTGAAATGGTATGGCCATATAACAGGGGTGACAACAAACAGTATACTCCAGCAATCAATGATGTATAGACCAGGCGGAAAGCGAAGACGAGGCCCACCATGCAAATTATGGACAGAGGGAATAACAGAATTCCTGGAAATCCCTATTTACGAAACACAGAAACGGGCACTTTCCCGTAAATTATACTTCACCTCCACACCACAAGTTACCAGAGGATCAAGATGAGACAAGATGAGCTTAATCCAATATAGGGGATATTTGCTGTTTGTTCCTGTAAATCCATCCTTTCATATAAATTACAGAGTACACGTGTTTGTACTAGTACATTTTCTACTGATTGTCACTTGGGGCCGCTGTAGTACACCTGCTAGACCCACCTGCTGCATTCAAGGTTTAGATTTGGACTTTTTAAAGGACAAAGAATTTCCAGACCGACCTAGCTGAAAATGGGTAGGGAGAAAATGGCAGGGAAGTCAAGCCGGAATGCATGATGTTGACCATATGTATGTGTCATTTCTTGACATCTATCGCGAGCCGGTGGGTCCATAAAAGTGTCTTTGGCCTCTTATACCCGAAGTTTCATTGGTTGAAAAGGCATTTTATGTTTTACTTTTGTTGATTATCTTCAGCTGAGTGTTAAATATTGATATCTGATCCTGGACCTCTGATGTTTTTGCTGTATAGACGATAGGATGCTGTTGACTGGTGGCACATTTCCAGATAATAGTGCTTCTTTGTTGTATAGCGAGGCGTGGGAATTAGTCCATGGAGATATGAACTGAAACCAGCGATGAAGTTCTCCTTCCACTGATACTTCATTTGAGCTTTTTTTTTTTTTTTTGCCCAGCAGGAGGATGCCTGACTCAGTCTGGCTTACTGATTTTACCCAGACCAGCTGTCTAGCAAAGCTAGGGGCCAGGTGATTGGTAGGGATTATCATCACAGCCTTCTGAACAGATCCATAGGTGCTCCGATCTCCTCTTCAAGAGCTCCAGAAGTGTAAAATGAATGATGACGACTGTTCTGTGTTGACTAATGAAACGTCTTGTCCCCTTAATAAAATGTTCATTTTTGCAGCTCCAGACTGCACCTCCATGTCCAACCGTCTAGACAGGGATACGAAGTCATGTCATTCTGGCGTGCTTGTCGCCACGGTAAGTGCTGCACATGGCATTGATACTTCTGGCCAGTACTGAACCAGCCATACACAATACAGTGTCTGCAAAATTATCTTCACGCTCGTTCCCTTGAACACTCGCATGACTTGATACAAAGTTGAAGGTTCGAGCAGCCATTCACGAAGTGCTTTCTTAGTGTTGTAATCCATTCTTGTCTGATAAAACTAGCCTGGGTTATGTAAGCATGTTTATCGTGTCATTAAGTATGCACGCGTTTGTGAACTCTTGAATACCATGTTTCAGTGTTCTATAGGAGAACATGGAAATCACAACCCATGCCGATGGCGAGTGTGAAAAGCAACACTTTTCTCATTAGGAAAAGTCTTCCACAATTAGAGAATGGGATTTCAGGACCAATGTTGATTTTTCACATATTTTCTTTGAACGCTTCTTTTCAGACGTACAGTTGCTAACCTATCTGCAATCATTTTCTCTTTTATCCACATCTTCTTCCTAATTTCCCCAACCATGCAACACGGTAGTGTTAACTGTTCCTACCACTCCACCCCTATTCTTGTGTATTTGTACGGATATTTATTAATATTCTGTGGAAGACAGTCTGATATTATCTGAAATACACCAACAAAGAGAAACTTGTGTGTATTTACCTAAAAGTCCCAACAAAAGCTAACACAGCTGTGGCTAAGTATGTCCCATTGCCGTAGTCTGTGATCTTGGCCGGAAGCGTGGAGTTGGAGGATGACACATCAATGAACAACGCTCGAACATCGTCACCACCCTTGGTTTTAGGATTTCCTACTCTATCTCTTGCTGTTATCAATAATGCTACGGTGTCTCCGATGAAAAAAGTGGAACTTAATAAGAAAAGGTAAAACAAAAATATAGTAAACACCCTGATGAAGTTTGTACAAGTGCAGTTATAAAATGTTTCTATTAAAGAACGACATAGTTTACCGTGAAATAACTAGACACAACACACACAGTGACTAAACAGCTCAATGGGGATAAAGCGGAAGGTACGTACAAAAACAGCCAAATTTCCCATGTTTATCAACCTTTATAAGTCATGTTTTAACGTTCTGTTATATATGTACACGTCTTTTCCTTTCTCTCTTTCTAGCTATAGTTTGTGGAGAGGTACTTCTTGATATCTTCCAGTAAGTCGATAGGTGAAGAAAAGATGCTGCCATTGGATTAGACACGCGTTGAGAAAACCTGAGAGCAGTATAACTATAATATCTTTGCACTGGAACCCACAGGGTTTGAATGCAAGGGATAGGGCGACTTGAAGTGAGTTCGTTGAGGACCTTTGCTCCAACTTAAGGAAAAAGGGAACAAGAAGAATGTGTAAATCAACTGGAGTGTAGTCACACCTGTTTTTGACATGCCTTGCAGTTTTCCAAGCTCTGGCAACAGGCTGTCAAATTTCATAACCTCTCAAGACTGAACTTCTCCACCTCTTTGCAAAGTGATACAAACCTGTCACTATCTGACAGGTAATGATATAATACTTGTCTTTGACTTACCACCCAGTTCCTTTCGGACAAAAAGTCCTAAGACGAAGTGGTGGTAAATGAATGTAAATTGTTCAACACTATTATTTTTTCCAAGCAGGTTACACAAATTTACATAAAAACAAAAAAGAAAATGCAATATATGTTTGTTTCAAAAAGGGAATATATATATATATATATATATATATATATATATATATATATATATATATATATATATATATATATATATATATATATATATATATATATATATATATATATATATATATATATATTTGTACACATAAATTTGTGTACCCTCTAGTCATCATTTCCGGGGATGGAGGCGGGGGGAGGAGGGAGGGTGAAAGAGGGTGTTTCCTAAGTCACATTTATCGTAAGAGACGATGTAAAAGTAGGCAAAGTAAAGGACCTTTTTACCCTGCCTTTAGACGCATTGGCATATAGGGCTAGACCTATATTTTAGAGACCAATCGACACTCCATAGACTGTATGTTGCAGCTCATGTATTATATGCCCTTGAATTATTTCCCGTGTGGGAAAAACAGGAACAGACCCACTGCCTCCCTAACAAGCACGTCGTTAAAAGTCAACTAAGTGGGGGCTTCCTTCAAAGTCTAAGTGCATCTGCCCGAGATGCAGGAAACCATTAGTCTACATACACAAAAGTCAGACTGCAAAACGGATGTGCAATCAACACTCAGGTTCTGGAACAGGACTAGAGTCCAGAAGTGGATAAACAACCAGAACTTACAGAGATTAGAACCGGTGAATGCGAAGAAGAAGAAAAGCTTAAACATAGGCATGAAAGTGTGAGATTTACACATGACACAATAATAATAAAAGTATTATACAAGAATTTCAAAAAATTTGTAACGCACATAAGCAAACACATGCAGACACACACGCACATACCTGCTGTTGACAAGAACTACGGCAGATGTGCTTTCATTGGACACTTTCAAAATGTCCGTAACAGGCGGGTCCTCCAGGTAGGGTATTTCAAAACTGTACAACTCTGGCACTGGTGGCGTTATAAGGAAGTCGGCTATGGGGATCGTTTCGCATCTGAATTTTTAGAACAATAACCATTCAACAAAGATACAACAGTGGTCATACAACACCGCCAATTATGCTTTAGAAACCATATTTTGACGGTTAAGACTGTAAGGGGACACAACCCGTGTAAAACTAGGATTCATTGTGAAATGTCTTCTAATTTGCTCGATGACGTATGCAGGTAACTATAAGGTATAATGAACACAAGACACTTGTCTGCCGGCCCAAAGGTCTCGGGTTGTAATCTAAATGTTGGTATATGATTCCTTGAAGCTGGAATTCACGGCCTCAGATATTCCATCTATCCATCGTTTGCATAGGAGCGTCAAGGCATGCTTCTGTTGTGTCGAAGTGACAGGGTTCTCAGTTATGCACGGAATGATATGAACTAACCACATGCTTCTGTTGTGTCGAAGTGACAGGGTTCTCAGTCATGCACGGGATGACATGAACTAACCACATGCTTCTGTTGTGTCGAAGTGACACGGTTCTCAATCATGCACGGGATGACATGAACTAACCACATGCTTCTGTTGTGTCGAAGTGACAGGGTTCTCAGTCATGCACGGGATGACATGAACTAACCACATGCTTCTGTTGTGTCGAAGTGACATGGTTCTCAGTCATGCACGGGATGACATGAACTAACCACATGCTTCTGTTGTGTCGAAGTGACAGGGTTCTCAGTCATGCACGGGATGACATGAACTAACCACATGCTTCTGTTGTGTCGAAGTGACACGGTTCTCAATCATGCACGGGATGACATGAACTAACCACATGCTTCTGTTGTGTCGAAGTGACAGGGTTCTCAGTCATGCACGGGATGACATCAACTAACCACATGCTTCTGTTGTGTCGAAGTGACAGGGTTCTCAGTCATGCACGGGATGACATCAACTAACCACATGCTTCTGTTGTGTCGAAGTGACAGGGTTCTCAGTCATGCACGGGATGACATGAACTAACCACATGCTTCTGTTGTGTCGAAGTGACAGGGTTCTCAGTCATGCACGGGATGACATGAACTAACCACATGCTTCTGTTGTGTCGAAGTGACAGGGTTGTCAGTCATGCACGGGATGACATGAACTAACCATTTGATGTCTTGCGCCTTTGTGTAGTTTAGCACTAGTTCCGACCTTACTAATCTCCTGTTATCCACATTTCCTATTATATTTCTTCTTGTTAAATTTATTCTTCGTAACACACAACTCAACAAATATCCAGAAGCGTGCACCGAGATACTGTATCGCTTTAAACAGTATTCTGCAAACAAAAAAAAGAAACCAAAATGCAAATTATACCTCAGAAATTTAAAAAATCATTTCAATGACATTAGGAATATGTGTTTCCATGCAAAATGTCATTCAGTTCGGTTTAAAAAGTTCATAAGTAATCGCAATTAAATTGTGGCAAAATTTCTAAATGGGTGTAGCAGATTTATGTATACATGCGTCTGTGTGTTCAGTAATTATTTTATATGTGTTCAGCAATTGTTTCATAAACTCACAATTACTCGAACCTATTACTAGATTAATTCATTTTCTGCTATGACTACTCATCATAATCATCATGTAGCAGGTACTTTGCAGAACGTCGCTCTCATCACAGTCCGCCTGAAAGAAACTCGGTCTCTCGCCAGTTCTCCCGCCTTATGTTCTTGCATACTCAAGGATTCACTTATCCTGTGCCCATCTTCGTGACCCTGCCCCTCCTTCCTGGTACCTTGCCTTCTGTTATAATTTTTTCCAATCCATCGTGGCGTTTGACATGACCAAAATATTTCAGCTTCCATGACAGGATGCTGTTTATTAGCCAATCTTCCTTGATGTTCAGGTCTTTCAAGATGTCAATATTTCTCTTCTTCTTTGTCCAAGATATTCTGAGAATCGTTCTATAGCATATCAGCTCAAAAGCCCCTATTCTCTTTCTCAGGGACTGAGAGATAGTCCACGACTCACATCCGTATGTAGCCACAGGGAAGATGCATGCTCTCAAAATTATAATTTTGATCTCCTTGCTGGTGCTTAACCATAGACTTTTAAGGCTGTTCAATCTTTGCATTGCAATGGCCATCCACCTTTTAATTTCTGTCAAACAGTCTCCATTGCTGTTTATTGTAGAGCCTAGATATTCAAAGTTTGGACATTTTCAATTTCTTCATAATTTATTGTTATTTGTGGGTGACAGCCAGTTTTATATGTGGGTATTATTTTCGTTCTCTTCAAATTCAAGAACAGATTCAAATACTAGTACAACTAATTAGTATTTTTCTTCTACTTCTTGTCCTTAAAGCCCTCCCCCCACCCCCCACCCACCACTTCCTAAGCACATAGACCAGAAACCGTCGTCTTATCCATAAGAACACTGTTCATTTTTTAGCTTTTCTAGTTCTTTTGCATTGTGCATTCCACTATTAGGACATTAGGACACACTGTGAATACTAGTATTATTACGCCTCAGCGTTTCTTTTTGTCTGTCTCGAAGCTCCCCACTTAGTTAAACAAGGCTTGAGCCACTACCATCCGCCTCAACTCAAGAACATGTTTTTGTCTGTCTCAAAGCTCCACACCTAGTTAAACAAGGCTTGAGCCATTACCATCCGCCTCAACTCAAAAACATGTTTTTGCCTGTCTCGAAGCTCCCCACTTAGTTAAACAAGGCATGAGCCACTACCATCCGCCTCAACTCAAAAACATGTTTTTGCCTGTCTCGAAGCTCCACACTTAGTTAAACAAGGCTTGAGCCACTACCATCCGCCTCAACTCAAAAAAATGTTTTTGCCTGTCTCGAAGCTCCACACTTAGTTAAACAAGGCATGAGCCACTAACATCCGTCTCAACTCAAGAACATTTGCCGTGCTTCTGGTACGAGCTGTCAAACCTGATAATAAAATATTAACACTTACTCCAGAGCAATGTAATCAACCGACAAAATAAATACTTTTAATAAAGGCAGGGGTGACAACCAACCTTTTGCTTGCCATGAAAGTAAATAGGGTAATTGCCCTTTTCCACCCAGTGAAGGCAAATTCGTTGGTTCAGAGTTCAAATTCTTATGCGATACAGTAACAGCCTTTTCAATAGGTCCGTCGGCTGTTTGTGTGTCAGGCGGTCAATATAATGCCGCCCGTGTTTACTTCCCATAACATTTACTGCCACACATTTTGACTTGTGCCGAACTAGGGTGGAAAATCAATATCGACACATCCTGATCTAGTATGGAATTTAAACATAGTGTATATTTCCCCTAGATTTATTACAACTATGATTTAGTGAGGAGTCGCAGTGGTGGAGCGGCTAGACACTCTCCTGTGGTTCGGAGGGTCGTTGGTTTGGGTCCCGGCAGAGCCAAACTTTTTTCCAAAATGACATTGGCTCCCAGATCGACCCAGCCTTGAGTGGGTACCATGTGCAGTCCTGGAATGTAAAGATGGCCGGTGTTATGCTGACCACATCAACCACCTTGTACTGATTGGTCTATAAATTATAGGTATAGCCCTATGTGTCCAGTACGCCTAAAGGCGTGGAAAAGGGTCCTTTAATTGCTTTTTGATAACTGACTATGATTTACTGTGGTTATAAATAAAGGCTACACTCTACACCTTCACGTCATGACAATAGCCAGTGGCAGCCAACGTACACTGGATCGCAAATTATTCCTCCCCACGACGCCTAACGGCAGAAGTGGTTTATGATGATGATGATAATTATAGGCGTGATTTGAGAACACTTCGCTGATGGTAATTATTACTTAGATGCCTTTGACAATGTTTATTATTGTCAACAGAGTAAATGGAGCCAATAACTTTATTGAGAAGTTCTCTACATAAGCATTTATTTACATAGTTAATTTAATGTCATATTCAGTGGTACCTAGGTATGCGTTAGCTCCGGTATACGTTCAACTTGTTATACGTCCGTTTTACAGACGAACATGTTTACTTGGTATACGACTTTTGTTTGGAATAGGCCCCACGTGCTAAAACTTGTGTGTTTCACAATCAGTTAGACGCAGCTCGCTCTCATTATTTACCTCTCTGGAGGACATTTCATAGAAGTACTACCCTAACACAGCCCAAACAAGCCATAACAGCATTAACCAGAATGACCAGACAATGTCATATTTCCGAAACAGCCTGAGAAGAAGGTAAAAGCAAAGTACTTTAGACAGTTTTTTAAGTACGAGACTCAACCAGATCCAAGTAGGGAAAAGAGACAAAAAACAAAACCTGAATGAGGGGGGAAAAAACGAAAAATTGCACACTCACACCGTTATATTGGAATGGGAAGTTCCTTCCAAACAATAACATTTCCCCTTCCTCCATCTTCCGCACGGTCCTACTGGACACTCACCTTCTTTGGAAGGTAAAGGGAGGTTAAATTTGTATTTACTTTGTCTAACTGCCTTTGTATTTTTTAAATGTTAGTATCAGGCACAATAAAATTTAGTTCATACAACCCGTCATTGCATAATGTGTCATTAACAATTGTTTTTTGTTTTTTTTCTAGGGGGTGGGGTGGGTGGGGCTCATTAATTACTGTCCTTTTATTTCGTATGGGAAAATTAGTTGTCTATACGTCAACGGGTCTGGTGCGGGATAACGACACACACAGAGTTACTACTATATACACCTCAACGGGTCTGGAGCGGGTTAACGACACACACTGAGTTACTACTGTATACACGTCAACTGGTCTGGAGCGGGTTAACGACACACACAGAGTTACTACTGTATACACGTCAACGAGTCTGGAGCGGGTTAACGACACACACAGAGTTACCACGGTATACACGTCAACGGATCTGGAGCGGGTTAACGACACACACAGAGTTACCACGGTATACACGTCAACGGGTCTGGAGCGGGTTAACGACACACACAGAGTTACTACTGTATACACGTCAACGGGTCTGGAGCGGAATAACGACACACACAGAGTTAATACTGTATACACGTCAACGGGTCTGGAGCGGGATAACGAC